GGAGCAGCTGCCCCTGGGGACCCCCCTCGCTCCTTTTCTGCCTGGCTCCAAAGCAGCTGTGGTGCGGTGTGGCTTCTGATTCTTAAGTGTGGGGTGAAGGACGGTGGACGAAACGATGACATCAGCCTCTCTGAACCAGAATGTTTTCTGTGGAGTCTCTCGTGTGCCCACCAGAGGGTTCACCCCCAAGTGTCCTCTTCCCCTCTCCTGCCTTGTCCTCAGCTCACTGACCTGGGAGGGAGAGCCAGTGGGAATGGGCTGACTCCTGGGCATTCCCCAGGACCAGAGACACAGAGTTCCAGAAGGCTCCCCGTGACCCTGTGGGATGGGGGAGGAGCAGGGTCCCATTGCCTCAGTGACAGGAGGCCTGAGGACAGAACACTGAGGCTGTTGCGGGTTAGGAGGGTGCGCCTTTTTTCTCCTTGTTCGGTCAGAATGGGGCATGGTGCTGAGGCGTAGTGGGGAGGGGAAGGATGTGGCTTCAGTCTACTGTGCTGGGAATCCAGGGGCCTGCTGCAGCCTGCTTGCCTCTGCACCTGCAATATTCAGGGACGCTCCTTCAGAGGACAGGTGTGGGTGGAGGAAGGGTGTGGTTTAGGCTTAAATTTAAAGAAAAAAAAGAAACCTCTCTCTCTCCCCCTCGATCCTTAAAGGTGTATGTCTGGGCTGCTTCTTAGGCCCATCAAAAAGAAAGCTTGGCTGGGTATGGTGGCTCATACCTGTTAATCCCAGCACTTTAGGAGGCTGAGGCAGGAGGATCGCTTGAGGTCAAGGCTGCAATGAGCTGTGATTGCACCACTGCACTCCAGCCTGGGTGACAGAGGGAGACCCTGTTTCAAAAGAAGAGAAAAGTCTTTGGGGACCTGATCAAAGAAGGCTTCACAAGTATAGGACTTGAGAGAGTTTTCAGTTTTCATTTTTTTCTTTTTTTTTTGAGATGGAGTCTTGTGCTGTCACCCAGGCTGGAGTAGAATGGTATGATCTCAGCTCACTGAAACATCTGCCTTCCAGGTTCAAGCGATTTTTCTGCCTTAGCCCCCTAAGTAGCTGGGATTACAGGTGCCTGCCACTATGCCTGGCTAATTTTTGTATTTTTGTTAGAGACGGGATTTCACCATGTTGGCCTGGCCAGTCTCGAACTCCTGACCGAAGGTGATCCGCCCACCTCGGCCTCCCAAAGTGCTGGGATTACAGGCGTGAACCACCATGCCCGGCTGAGAAAGCGAGTTTTCTAGAAGACTGATTCACTGATTGATGACTGACTGGATTGATTCATGTTGCAGGATGGAAGAGGTCACGGCTGGGGCATACTTAGGATAACTGGATGTGGTATGTGGTAGGACGGGGTAGGTGTGGGTACCTGGTTTGAGGGTTTGGCTGCTGTCTGCCTCATCACCTCCTTCTCTGGCCTCCTACTTCCCTAGCAGACAGGGTCTTCTAGGATGTGTTTGAAGACCTGAGTTCTCATCCTGGCTTGGGGGAATCTTATTGTATGGAGTGATGCTCTTCAGGTAGGAAGGAAAGGCTGGCTCCCACCCAGGGAGGCACTTTAGCTGTCTCTGTGGGAGTCTGAGCTACACACACATAATGGTTCCAATCCGGTCTCTTAGGGCCAGAATGCACTCCAGCTAAGTGTGATGCACTCAGAATGCACTCCAATTGAATGCGATGCCTCTTATCCGTCACCATCAAACGGTGCCTCCTGACAGTCTGTACTGGTGTCCTGCTTTGTACTCAGTGCCTCATTTGTTCTTCAGCCCTCCCTTTCTTGGGCTCTTGGTTCCTTTCCAGCAAGTCCTCCTGCCCAGGAGAGACAGCCTGGTGATCGTGGGTTTCCTGGTCACTACAGGGCTTCTCTCATCATCCAAGAAATTTATAGTCCAATCCTGGTGACCTTATGCTTTCTTCCTTTTCCTTTCTGCTTACCCATGACCTACGATCCTTTGACTGGGGATCTGTATTTTACCATGTTGTTCCAGCCAGAGAGTGAACTGCCAAAGGTCACATAGTAGCAGGTCCAAAAACTGCCCTAAGGAATTTTGACTAAGTCCTTCCGAGTGTCGTGTCATAAGCCCCAATCCTTCAGGTCTTCATATGTCCCCTGCAGCTTATGCTGAAGCAAAGCCATGGCAGCCAGGGCTGTCACCAGTCCTTTGCTTGTGGCCCTGGCTGGTGTGTAGTCCGTTAGGGAGGCAGTGGGCAGGAGAGCATAAACTCTGGAGCTTCAGTGCCTGAGTTCAAGTCCAGGCCCTACCACTTACTACTTCTGTGGCCTCAGTGCCTGCATGTATAAAATGAGGGTAGTCATAGAACCCTCTGGAGTTGTTGCAAGGGGTTAGTCACTTTAATATGTACATAGCGCTTAGAGCATTTTAGCAGTTGGCTGTTATGCTTTGTTTTAGCCTTAGGAGGATTTGGGATACAGGTACTATTTTCAGAGTATGAGCTTAGTTTGCAGACAGGTAGCCTATGATCAATCAGAGAGAAAACTTCTCCAAGTAGAAAAGCCCTATTAGTTTCTGGGTTTGAAGTGTGCTTATGTTGCTATCCTCTTGTAGTGGAGTCCCCAGAGAGGGACCCTCAGAAGGTCCCTTTTGGAGACAGATCTCCCGAACTGTGTGTGTGTTGGGGTAGGGGTGGGACTGTGAGTAATCTTTTGCTTAAGGCTGTGAACTGGCTGGCTGTGAAATCCATTGGGAGTGGGGCTGTTTCCATTTAGCTTCCCCAGAGAAGCTGACTGATCCCAGATGTGACCTGGGAAAGGTCTTAGGCCGTAAATCCCTGCCCCTTTGTTCCCTGCTGGGATGGTGGTGGGTGGGTGGGTGGGGTGCCTGACTGCACTGTGCTTCGAAGGACATCAGCATGCCACAGGGCTGGGGGTTAAGGGCTGGGGTGGAGCTTGGGTTTTTGTCTGTCAGTGCTGGAATGACATGGTGTTGCCCTGCCTGCTGGTTCTGTAAAAGGCATAGCTGAGGAATTGTAAAGGCCCTTTTGAGGAGGGAGGAGAAAGCAGCAGCCCTACAATTCCCAAGGGGCTCTCCTCTGAGCCGCTCAAAGAGCTTTACCAAAATGATCCTGCTAATTAGCTCTCCTGGCATTGCACTGCACCATGGAGGGGAGCACTGGGCTGCCACTGAGTCCCCATCTGCAAGTAGAGAGGCTCAGACAGAGCACCTTGGAGGTGACCCCCTCCAGTGAGACCCAGTGACAAAGTGCTGTGCTCCAGAGCGCCCCGGCCAGGTTAGCGGCGGGTGGTAAGTAGGTCTTGAGGTGCTTGATCTGTACCTCAGTAAAAGCATCAATTTGTTCACCATTGTTGTTCATTTGTTAAATTGGCCCTTAAGACCCCTGCTCTTTAGTAACTAATGGTGTATGGCAGAGGGTCTCAAACTAGTCACACTTTGTCAGGCGAGTGCTACAATAGGAGAAACCTGGGAGGTAGTAAGAGAACACAGAAAGAGTTCCCTAGATTTGGGGGATATTGGAAGGTTCCTGGAGGGGGCGGTTTCTAATCGGAGACCTAAAGATTGGATGTAAATTACATAGGTTGGGGAATGGTACCGTATGGAGTGGATGGAGAAGAGAGAACGCTGAAGCAGAGAGAACATTTGCAAAGGCCTGAGACCCAGGGGTGTTGGTTTACGGGTTGAGGCAGAGGCACAGAAAACCACGGGCCAGTGCCAAGGGTTCCCAGAGTAACGGCAGCTTCTAGATTCTTCTCCTTGTAGCTCAAGCCTCTGCCCTTTGGTCATGTCTGTGGTCTAGTCTCTTCTGAGCCCTAGAGCCAGGGGTAGAAGACCTGGGTCAGTAGGGGTGAGAGGGATGCCCAGGAACTTGCTGTTTTCCTGTGAAATAGCAATGAAATGTGTACTCTGGAAAGTGGCGTTGGTGAGCTCTATGGCGTGGGCATGGGTGTTGCATGGGTGTCCCTGTCCTTCCCGAAGGCTACAGCCTGAAGTAGTCTGCCTACTCCACCCTTCCTTCCCCCGGCTGCTCCAGGTGGGCCTGCCTGTGAGCCACACCATCTGCTTAGGGAATAAAGTCCACCTGAGGCTGTGTTTGCCTCACCTGGGTGCAGTTTACTGCTTTCTCTGCTGCCCCCACCCAGCTGTGCCAAGGGGAGCTTACAGAGACTCACTGATGGCTCAGCCCTGGGGAATTTCCTGGGGCCTAGATGAGTCAGAGGCAGCCTGTACCAGGTGCTGGGGTGGGGCTGCAGAGTGGGGGGATAATGCTGGCTCAGCCAGTCAGTATCCAGAAAGTTTCAGGTTCGTGGTGAAGCCACCGGTGCCCCTGAGGTTTTGCAGTCCTAGGAGAATATTATCCCTGGTATGTGTCTTAACACTGTAAGAAGCAGATCTTTGCCCATCCCTGTACAGTGACCCCAGCACACGCTACATACAGGTGGGCACTTGGGAAGTTCCTCTTGACAATTGCCATTATCATCACTATATTCATGGCGTGTGGAGCACATACCCTGTGCCAGGCATCATGCTCAGAGCTTTACGAACAGCAGGTGGCGTCATCCGGGAGGACAAGCCATGGGGTAGGCTGTATCTATCCTCATTTTACAGGTGAGGAGCTGAGGCTCTGAGGCACTAAGTACTGTGCCTCAGCAGTGGAGCTGGGCTATGAATTCCTCAGAGGGTACCTGGACCACTGTGCTGGCAGGTGGACTTGGGCACCCTCATCAATGCTCAGAGAGTCGGAGAGCAGGGCCCTTCTTGGGATTCAGTTTTGTTTTGTTAATTGTGTTAAATGTAAACACACATAACATAAAATTGACCATCTTCACCATTTTAAGTGTACAGTTCATTGATATCATTGTGCAACCGTCATCACCATCTATCCACAGAACCTTTTCATCTTCTAAAACTGAACTCTGGACCCACTAAACAATACCTTCCCACCCTGCTTGCCGTCACCCCTGGCAGCTGTCCCTCTGTTCTGTTTCTGTGGGCATTCAAAGGTTGACCCTTCATCTGTCTGTCTTGCTGCAGAATCTCCCTGGGGTGCCCTCCCCAGGCAGCAATGCCAGGATGCCCGTGTCCACCTCCCTTCACCAGGGTGGCAGCCAGGAGCGGCCGGTGAGCCTGACCTCTACCACCTCCTCGTCGGGCTCCTCCCGTGACAGTCGCAGTGCCATGGAGGAGCCCAGCGGCTCCGAGGCTCCTGCTGAGAATGGGGCAGGCTCCCCAAGAGACCGGCATCTCCCCAATAGCAACAACAACTCCAGCAGCTGGTTGAACGTGAAGGGGCCCCTCTCCCCATTCAACAGCCGGGCGGCGGCAGGGTCTGCGCACCACAAGCTCAGCTACCTGGGCCGAGTGGTGCGGGAGATCGTGGAGACGGAGCGCATGTATGTGCAGGACCTGCGCAGCATCGTGGAGGTGCGTGCCGGGGGCCCTGTGGCACAGCATTCTAGCGGAAGCCCGTTTCACCCTGGGAGAGAAGCTTTCGAAAGACCCGCTTCCCATAAAGTAGTTGGAGGACTCGGGTCTCCCACCCTCGCTGACTGCATGGTGAAAACTGTTGACCCCTCAGGCTTCCTTAGGACCTTGGGCTGGATCAGTAGCTTGGGCTGGCAGGAGTGAGCATCACTGACAGGGAGGATGGGTCCCCAGCCTGCCTGGGAAGATGGCTCTAGAAAGCCTGTGCCACAGAGACCAAATGCAGTGAAGACATGGGCTCTGGGCCTGGCCCCACGCATCCCCTGCCCTATTGTTGCCTGGCTGTGTGGAGCCTCAGGTTCCTCCTCTGTAAGAGGAAGCCACACCTACCTTGCAGGGCTACTGTAGGTGAAGGACATGGAAGGGCAGCTGTGTGGCTGCCACTGAGGAAGCCCTCTGCTCCACTGGCTCGGGGTGTGGATTAGTTTCCTAGGGCTGCCTTAACCAAATGACCGCACACTGAGTGGTTTAAAACAGCAAATGTATTCTCACTCAGTTCAGGAGGCCAGAAGTCCAAAATCAAGGCACTGGCCGGGTTGGCTCCCTCCAGAGCCTCTGAGTGAGTAGTTCTGTGCCTGTCATCCAGCTTCCTGGGTCCTGGCAGTCTTTGAGATCATTGGCCTGGGGATGCGGCCCAGTACCTTCCCATCACCACCTTCTTTGTGTCTCTCTGTGTCCTCCCTCTCCTCTTATAAGGACAGCAGCCACTGGATTTTGGGCCTACCCTAAATCCTATCTGAAGTCATCTTGAAATCCTTAACTAATGGCATCCACAGAGACCTTATTTCTGAATAAAGTCACATTCGGGGTTCCAAGTGGACGTGAATTTTGGGGTGGACACTGTCTCACAGTAGGCAGTGTCTGTGAAGTGGTGTCCCAGCAGGGCCTAAACGAAGTGTGGCTAGGGAAGGTCGTGGGCAGGGTTGTGCTGGGGGCCAGGTTCTGACCACCTCCCTCCACGCAGGACTACCTCTTGAAGATCATCGACACGCCCGGGCTGCTGAAGCCAGAACAGGTCAGCGCCCTCTTTGGGAACATAGAAAACATCTACGCACTGAACAGGTGTGTGAATGGGCCTGACACCATGTTCTGCCTGCGAGGCCCACCTCGGGGCCTAGGGAGGAAGCCTGGATGTCCCTGGACTCATGGGCCTGTGACATGTGGGCCTGGGGCCTGATCTCTGAGGACAGGGAAGGGTGGTCCATCTCTGTGCCCTGGGCTGATGTGCTTTCTCTCAAGGGCAGACAGGGAGGTAATTTGAGGGTATGTGCGTGTTGGGTCCAGCCTGGGCCGGCACCCCTCACGGGGCTGCTGGGCCCTTCCTTGCACACTGATTCATTTCCCTGTGGGTGGCTTCTCTGTCCTTCTCATCTTCATTTTCCACTTGCACATCTCTTAATTTCTTATCCTCCTTCCCACTGACTCCAAGGGCTCCCTGGAGATGATCTGACCTATTAGTGGATTGCACAACCCAGGCAAGACAGATGTGAGAGGCCAAACAAGGCCTGGCCAGGGGCTGTGTCAGGGCAAAGGGCGTGGGTCTGCTGCCTGGGACCACAGACTCCCCAGGGAAAGTGCGCTGCTCTGGAGGGTCAGAGCTTGAGGGAACAGCGGTGCTAGGACAGGAAGAATCGTATCCCAGGCCACTTAAGATAGGCAGTAAGCTGGAGAAGTCTGGAAGGGCAGGGTACAGGGAAGACTTAGACCAATGGTGAGGGTTTGGGAAAAGAGGAGGAGCACAGAGAGAGGAGGCAGGGAGCAGTGTCTCTAGGGGTGCCAGGACTCACCTGTCTCTCCCCATGTCCCACATCCTGGGCGCCCTGGCTCCTTTGCTAGTTCCCGTTCTCTCTCCTTCGCCCTTTAATCCTCTGCTTTTGTGTGTTTGACTCCTTCTGCCTGCAGAGGAGCTGTGTCCCCTCCTGAGGTGGGTACGAGGGTCCCCTCTTCCTCTCCCGCTTGCTGAGCCTGTAGGTCTCCCTGACTTCCTGCTTTGTGGCTGCTTTGTGCTGGATACTTTCTGTGGTTGCTGCCTGGGGCAGGGCTCCCTCTGAGGCTAGAAGCCCCAGCTCTTTACCTTAACAATAGGGCTGGCTGTCAGTCAGGGTTCGGGAGGTTGGGGAGGGGGCAGTGAGGGGCATTGTCCTCTGACTGCAGAGGGTACAGTGGCTGCTTTCCCCTCACCCAGCCAGCTCCTCAGAGACCTGGACAGCTGCAATTGTGACCCCGTGGCTGTGGCCAGCTGCTTTGTGGAAAGGGTAAGAAGGGCTGGGCCCTTGCCCCGTCCTACCTTGCTGAGAGCTCAGAGAGACAAGAACTCTGCCAGTGTAAGAGGAAATCTGAGTCCTGGGGATCCCTTTCCAGGGAAAGTGCTTGGTGCTGTGTCTTGAATGAGAAGGGTGTTCTGGGGGGAGCCAGGGCTGCTGGGTGGATGGGATGTCCTTGATAAATAGGTATAAAGATGGCTCTGTAGGCACTTGGGAACAGGGGACGGAGTATGCTCTGGGGGCCAGGGGCCTATCTAGTACCACCATCTTTACAGTCAAATGGGAGTCTCCCTGAAATCACTATTTTTGATCTCTTCTTAGAGCCAAGAGTTTGATATCTACACCCAGTATTGCAACAATTACCCCAAGTGAGTAACTGGGGTGAGAGGGAAGGCAGAGCCATCTGGTGAGTCCAGAGCCCCCCGCCTCCTCATCCAGGCCTTCTCCAGGTGGTGACTGGCCCTTCTCCCACTCTCAGCTCCGTGGCCGCCCTGACGGAATGCATGAGGGACAAGCAGCAGGCCAAGTTCTTTCGGGACCGGCAGGAGCTGCTGCAGCACTCACTGCCCTTGGGCTCCTACCTGCTGAAGCCGGTCCAGCGCATCCTCAAGTACCACCTGCTGCTGCAGGTAGCCCCTTGGTCCTCCCAGGCACCTGGGGCCTGGGGAGGGCAGGGCCTTCGAGTCAGGGGTACCTAAGCCTCTATCTTCTGCTCAGGAAATTGCCAAGCATTTTGATGAAGAAGAGGATGGCTTTGAGGTGGTGGAGGATGCCATTGACACCATGACCTGTGTGGCCTGGTACATCAACGACATGAAAAGGAGGCATGAGCATGCAGTCCGGCTCCAGGTGCTCGGGGGCTGAGAGGCTGGGGGAGGGGCAGGGCTGGGTGGGCCATGCTTCGGCTGGGAAGAAGGACTATGGCCACCCTGCTGGGATGAGCTGGGTGGTGGCATTGGGGGAGCCTTTGTGGCAGGTTTTGCAGAGCCTCCAAAGGCCCCAGTGGCCTGACTGTAGGGGTTGGGGCCCCTCTGCTGCAGGAGATTCAGTCACTCCTCATCAACTGGAAGGGGCCCGACCTGACCACCTACGGGGAGCTTGTCCTGGAGGGCACGTTCCGCGTGCATCGCGTGCGCAATGAAAGGACCTTTTTCCTCTTTGACAAAACACTGCTTATCACCAAGAAGCGGGGCGATCACTTTGTCTACAAGGGCAACATCCCGGTAACCAGGCCCTGCCCTATCTCCGCCGTCTTCTCTCCTTCCCAAAGGATCTGGGCTCCCCTCCTTGTCTGCTTCTTGGGGCTCAGCACCACCCTTCTGAGATCACCCTCCCTGCTTCCCCAGGCTGTCAACCTTGTGCTTTACTGTCCTTTTCCTCTGCCCCTAGTGCTCCTCCCTGATGCTGATCGAAAGCACCAGAGACTCCCTGTGCTTCACTGTCACCCACTACAAGCACAGCAAGCAGCAGTACAGCATCCAGGTGAGGGGCCAGTGGGGCTCAGGGGCTAGGGAACAAGATGCCCAGGGGACATCTGTGTGGAACTCCTGGCTCCTCCGCCCACCTAGCTGCCCCAGGATCCCGGTAAGGCAGGGATCATTGCAGGCACTTCTTAGGGTCAAAGTGAGGAGTCAGGTTAACCTCAGAGTTCCCAGCATGGTCCCACTTTTTCTCCCTGGGCGGAAGCACTGTCCATGCTGGACAGCTTCAGGCCTGTAATGATAACCCCTGGGTCCCTTTCCCTTGGGTCCTCCCAGGCCAAGACGGTGGAGGAGAAACGGAACTGGACTCACCACATCAAGAGGCTCATCCTAGAGAACCACCATGCCACCATTCCCCAGAAGGTGAGTTCCCCCAGCTCTTGACAGCGGACAGGGAGAATGTGCTCCTCTGAGCCAGCTCTACAAGGTCCACTGGGGACTCACCTTCTGGATTTGGGCTCCACTGGACAGTGGATGTCAGTACAGCAGATGCCTTGGGCCTTGGTGCCGCACTGTGGGGTGTCCTCGTACAGCAACAGGGGAGGCTGGCACATAGTAAGGTAATAACCAGGTGCGTTTCCTTCTGTCAGGCCAAGGAAGCCATCTTGGAAATGGATTCCTATTGTAAGTGTGCTCTTTTCCGCCTGTTTTGTCCCTACTCATGGACATTGCTCGGTCAGGCTGCATCCTGGGGAAGCTTTACCTGATAATTTTATTCCAGGAGCAGGGAGGACGGGGGCCTCCTGTTAAGGGCTTGGGGGCGAACTATATGATTAAGGATGCTCTCCTGCTGAGCAGTGGGACTCTCAGTGCCTGAAGCTCCCAGCTAGAAGATGGAGGGAGCTCTGGAGGCTCCTGGCCCTGGAGCTGGGTGGGTGTAGAGGTCTGGCTGGGTATGGACAGGGTCTAGGGTAGGCCAAGGCCAACTGGAAACCAAAAGCTTGACTGTCTCTCTCCTGGATGCAGATCCCAATCGGTACCGCTATAGCCCAGAGCGGCTGAAGAAGGCTTGGTCCTCCCAGGATGAGGTGTCCACCCATGTGCGCCAGGGGCGCCGGCAGTCTGGTAAGAGAAGGACTGTGGAGGCAGGAGGCCTCTCCCTCACACCCTTTCCCAGGCTGGGGACCGTCTGCGGCAGTGTCCAGGGCTGTGTCTCTCACCTCTGCGGAAACCCTGGGAAAGGCTTGAGTGGGGCTGGACATACACCTGGGGCTCATCCTTTCCCTGTGCTGGTGCTACCCACACCACATGCCTCTGGGCCCTCGTTGCCTACCAGTTCTGGGCAGCCCAGCTGTTTCTTACTTTTTTCTTTCTTTCTTTTTTTTTTTTGATGGACTCTTGCTCTGTCGCCCAGGCTGGAGTGCAGTGGCTCGATCTCAGCTCACTGCAACCTCTGCCTCCTGGGTTCAAGCAATTCTCCTGTCTCAGCTTCCCAAGTAGCTGGGACTACAAGGGTGTACCACCACACCCAGCTAATTTTTATATTTTTTAGTAGAGATGGGGTTTCAGTATATGTTCGCCAGGCTAGTTTCGAACTCCTGGCCTCAGGTGATCCACCCGTCTCGGCCTCCCAAAGTACTGGGATTATAGGTGTGAGCCACTGCGCCTATCCAGCCTACCTTTTTTAAGGCCCTAGGAATACTTGCTCACTTGGGTCTTGGCACCCCTTCTTAGCCCCCTGCCTCCTTTGCCTCTTGGGAATACCAACACCAAGTCATTCAGGAGTAACACTCGGACATCGCAGATGGCCCCAGCCCAGTCCTGGAACAACCCGAGCAGAAGCAGGACCCGGGGAAAACGAGTTCAGTGGCACCAAACCCAGACAGGAAATATTTACTTTGAGTCTCAGGAAAAAGTTCCATTTTCCTCTCCTGAGTTTTCTTCCATTCCTGGACTTGCTAGGGTGTTCTTGGATTATTGGAATGAATCGTCTATTTGAAAAGAGAAAAACTTTGCTTTTATTTTTAACTCTGTGGTGATGAGTGTGTGTATTTTCTACATTGGGTTTTTCGTTGCTATTTAGTGCGAGGCCCAAGGACAGCTCTGGCTTAAGCCAGGTGTCTGCCAAACATATACTCAGGGTGGGAGTTGGGGTGAGAATTGTCTAAGACCCCGGGAGAGAAAGATTCTAAAGTGACTGAGAGCAGTGTCCTGGCTTGGGTCCACAAGTGTGTTGGGTTTTCATTGGTGATGACCTGTGGGTCCCCTGAATGTGTGTGTGGATTGACATGTGGGCGTTAGCCTTCTAGAAGGTGGAGCAGTGGCTTATAGAAGGCTTTTGTGGTTTTATGTTGTTGGTATTGCTCTGGGTGGATCTTGAGCCCTAGGCCACCTTGCTATGGTTGCAAAAGTTTTATAGTTTTTATAGTTAAAAGCTCCAAATGGGGGTGTTGCTTTCTTCTCTCTAGCCCTCTTTATTTCCTTTCCTTTTCTTCTCCTGTAATTCTCTTCTTGTCCTCCTCAACTTGGTGTACCTTAAAATTTGAAGCTTCTAGCACATTGATGTGTTCAGCAAGTGATAATGTTGGTCGTAGTGATAGTAGCTGCATCCTAATGTTAGCACCAAAACTTTAGCCATGGATGTACAATTCTTTGAATATACTTAAAGCCATTGAATTGTACACTCTAGGTGAATTGTATGTGAATTATATTTCAATAAAGCTGTTACAAGAAAACCCCCAAACTTTAGCTGTCCAAAGCACTCAGGAAATGAGCCATTTTAAAGAGCTGAAGTTTCCACATGGCTGAGATTTTTAGCCTGTAAATACTAAGAGTCGCATTTTTTCAAAAAATATTTTTAAAATGTTTTAACTGTTATGAAATTCCCTTCCTCCCTCCCTCCCTCCCTTCCTTCGTGCTCTGTTGCCCAGGCTGGAGTGCAGTGGCACCATCTCTACTCACTGCAACCTCTGCCTCCTGGATTCAAGTGATTCTCCTAAGTAGCTGGGATTACAGGCATGCGCCACCATGCCCAGCTAATTTTTTTTTTTTTTGTATTTTTAGTAGAAATAGGGTTTCATCATGTTGGTTAGGCTGGTCTCAAACTCCTGACCTCAGGTGATCCGCCCACCTTGGCCTCCCAGAGTGCTGGGATTACAGGTGTGAGCCACCCCACCCGACCAAAATAAACATCTTTCTAAAGCATGCTTTGTACTCTTGAGTCTTTTAAAACAGAAGGTGGTGCCTGCCGTTGAACCTTTCCTTTTCTGGAGTTAATGCTACAGCGATCACTTAGGGTGTGTGAACTGCCAGATGCTTGAGGGGCCCCAGAGGCTGTGGGTTGCCATAGAGACAGCCTGCGTTTGACATGTCGTGCCCTTCTTCACGGTTCTTCTGTAACACTGAAGTGTCTGTTTTCATTGGTCTAAGCATGTTTGTCTCTAGTAGCCCTTCTTCCCCTCCTGTCTGTTAGAAAGCGATCGATCAGGCCAGGCATTGTGGCTCACTCCTGTAATCCTAGCACCTTGGGAGGCCGAGGTGGGAGGATCACTTGAGGCCAGGAATTCAAGACCAACCTGGACAACATAGTGAGGCCTCATCTCTACAAAATTAAAAAATTAGCTAGGCATGGTGGTGTTCACCTGTAGTCCTAGCTACTCTGGAGGCTGAGGTGGGAGGATCACTTGAGCCTGGAAGGCAGAGGTTGCAATGAATGGATATCATGCCCCTGTACCCAGCCTGGATGACAGACGAGACCTTGTTGCAAAAAAAAAAAAAAAACGAAAAAAAGAAAAAGAAATCAATCTGTTGAACTTGTGGGAACTGTAGACCACAAAAAGATCAGGAAAGTCACTGGGGAGGGACTTGGGCCACATCCAGACACTTTACTGCCTGGGCTCAGCCATCCACTCTGACTTCCTTGAGGTCTTTTCTGTTCTGCTTACCACTCAGTGAGCTGAGATGAGCTGACAAGTATATTCTGTGGATAATTAAGGTTTATTGTTTAAATTATATGTCACTTATTAAATATTCTTGATAAGTTTTAAAATGAAAGAATAGAACATTTTCTACTTTTCACTTTAAAAACAATTAGGCATTTACTTACATTGATACAGATAGTGTATGTACATTGTGTGTGTCAACAGAAAAGAGGTTCTTCAATAGGCCTGCCTGCTGAGGAACAGCAAGATACCTTGGTAGACTTTCCTTCTGACTTCAAGTGTGTAGCAAATCGTGGCGATCCCTGGGCCTCCCACTTACCGCCACCTAGGCAAGGATATGGATAGGCGAAGGCCGAGGCTCTGTAGAACTGGACCTTGAGACAAGGTCCTCTTATTCCCGCCCTCCAGTCTCAGGTGTGTCCCCAAAAAGGCTGGGGTACAAGGTGATGACACCATCGGCCTAATGGATGTGTTTTGTATCCTGTCCCCAGAGCCTGGTCACTCTCCGTACAGCCGGGCAACTCTCCCCAGCGGGCAGCGAGGCTTCATGGTGCCAGGCCTTAAGGGCCGTAGAAAGTCGGGTGTGACCTCTGCTTTCCGGCTGGGTTGCTGTGAGGGGCTTGGCAGTGGGTGTAGCTGATGCACTGATATGCTCATTGCCAGGGAGGCAAGGGGCTTGAGGTGGAGCCAGCGGCCTCCGGAGATGTTGCTAGTTGGTCTGAAGGGGGCAGCATGGAACTCAGTCCCCTCCCTATGGCTTCTGCACGAGGGCCCTGGTGTGCTACTGCATTGCATCATGGGTGGTACTGCTCCGGCAGGGCTGGCAGCCACAGCGGGGGTCCTGGAGATGGATGGGCCCGCCTCCCTGTCCGTAGGTGCAAGGGGCTTGGCGACATTGTGGAAGGCAGCCTCCCTGGGGCCTATGACTGTAGTGGGGGGCAAGCCAGAGTGGACTTTGAGCTGGTGATGGGCTGGTGGCGCTGTGAGCTTGGGACCCAGCCAGGCACGGCAGTTTCCTGGCCCGTGCTGACTCTGCCCATGCTTTCCTCCTCAGAGCCAACCAAACACCTGCTCAGGCAACTCAGCGAGAAAGGTGAGTGTGTGAGGTGGCCAGCTATTCCCAGAGAGGGGGGGAGGAGGAGGGGAAGCAGCCAACAACCTAGGGGTTGACCTGAGGGTGGGGGATTGTCAGAATAGTGTAGAAGGATCTCTGCCTCCGTTCTCCCCTGGAAGAGGGCCTCGCCCCTGGCTGGCTGAGGAGAGGGGCTGGAGCTCTCCCCTTTGCACAGGCCTCATGCCCTTTTCTCTGGAAACAATGAGAACCGAGCAACAGGCACAGACCTGCGCTGCTCTGTGGCCCCTGGGCCCCTGCTCTGTCAGTCATTCTTTTGAAAGCACAGGAGACGAGGTGAGGGTTCTGGGAGCAGGAGCCCCCAGTGAGGCCTTCCCCAGGGGGCTGTCCAGAGGTCTTTCTCCTGCTTACTGATCTCTTCCCCTCCCCTGCCCCTCGCCGGTGTGTTGGGGACCCGGTGGTGATGTCCGCAGCCCGAGCAGCAGGAATGAAGGTAAAGGCCAGTGGGAGGAGGGGACTGGCTGACAGAGGAGGGTGGGACTGCCCAGGTCAGCCCCTGGCCCCTTCAGCCCTCATTGTCTTCATTCATTCAACAAATGCCTGCTGAGCACCCACTGTGTACCAGGCTGTGTGGCATAGGGCCACAGAGATGAAGAAGACATGGGCCTTGCCCTGGGGGCCCTTTTGCACCCTCTTCCTAGAACAGCACCCCGCTGGGGGCCTGCCCAGCATGGACCTGCTCAGATTTCCCTCTCTCTAGGGTAGACAAGTAGGCAGGCCTCTTTGGGTTCTGAATTTTTGACCAGGTTACAGCCTTTCCACCATGAGAATGCCCGCCCCTCCCTGGACCCCAGTGGAGACCTGAGTTGGGCATCTAGGTGTGGCTTTCTGTGTGAAGCCTCCCCACCCACAACTGCCTGCAAGAGGACAGGAGGTTGCCCAAGAGGCTGGTCACGAGGGGGTCTTGTGCTCTGAACAGCATGCAGGCAGTGCTGGCACCCTCCTGGACTTTGGGCAGCCCTCTCGTGCTCGGGGCCTGCAGCCAGAGGCTGAAGGGGCTGCCCAGGAGGAGGAAGAGGAAGAGGAGGAGGAGGTGGTGGAGGAGGAGGAGGAGGAGGAAGAGCAGGCCTTTCAGGTCTCTCTGGAGGACCTGACAGGGCATGAAGGCAACGAGAAAGGGGCTGGGCCGAAGCCCCCAGGCTCAGAGGAGGAGGAGGAGGAGCAGGAGGAGAGCCTGGCGGTGGCGGAGCAGGTAGCTGACTTTGCCAGCTCCCTGCTGGCCGCCCTCCACTGCTGGCACTATCGGGCCAACGCTTTACTTTTCTCCCGGGGCGCTATGGTGAGGTGTCTCTTCGATCTCCCCTCCTCCTTGCATGCTCCCTGGGATATGCATGCCCACCCAAGGGCCCCCTCCGCTGCCCTCCCCACCCCACCCTGCCCTAGTTTTACTCCTCCCCTCAGCACTTAACACCCTCGCTCGCTGTCACACCCTGGTGAGCCCCTGGCATGCTCTGTTCCAGTACTGGGCACTTATCATTATAACGCCCAACAAGCATGACAAGTGGGGTGGTGCGGTGGGGGCAGGGAGAAGCTAGCACACAGTGGGGCTGGAAAGGTCAAGTCCACTTTGTCTGGATGGAAAGGTGGGCCGAGGTTTTCTGAAGCTGCATGCCTGACAAGGCTTTCTGCAGCCCTAGGCCTGGCATTCAGGTTGGCTCTGGAATGGCTCAGGCCCAAGACTGGCTCTCAGCTCAGCCCAGCCCCTTGGGGTGTGGGAGGTGCTGCCTGTGTTGGGATGCAGAAGGGATCAGCTTCCAGTTGTCTTGGAGTTGATGACTGACCTCTACCTCTGCAGGGAAAGGGGCGCAGGGAGTCTGAAGGCTCCAGGAGCAGCAGAAGGCCCAGTGGTCGGTCTCCAACCAGTGCTGAGAAGCGCATGAGCTTCGAGTCCGTTTCTTCCCTGCCAGAGGTGAGCGACCAGCAGGTGGGATGGGGATAGCAGGAAGAACTTGGAGTCCAGATTTCCAAGTCTGCAAATAGGGCTTTCAGGCATAGGCTTTCCCATTGGGCCCATGGGAACAGAGATTCTCCACCTCCCAGGACTCTCAGCCCTGCATGAAGTCTGTTTGGCCTAGAGTATATGGTTTGGTAAGCAGACCACCCCTCTCTATGAATTAGAAAAAGACTCCCCTTTGGGCAGATGCAGTCCCATGTCAAGGGCACACAGCTAGTGGAAATGAACCAGGTATTAGGCTCCCTTGGTTAGGCCACCTTGTATGGGTTATAAGGCCCTGTCCCTGCCAGCATGCCAGACATTGAAATCACACCTGTGGTCACCTGGGCAAAGGGTAGGGAACTGATGTCTGTTGGACACGTCCTCTGTAACTGATGTGTTATTTCTTCCTTCTCTTCCCCACAACAGCTCTAGAAGGAAAAGGGCTCTGAGTGGTTGATGGCGTGCCTAACACTGAGCAGCTCCTGAGGGGCGGGGCTGAGATCAGACCTGGGGCTGGGACTCAGAGGCCCACTCTCCTCCTCCTGCTGCCCTATGCTGTCTGTGGGTTGTGGGAAGCAACGTCCTTTACTTTCCCAAAGTTATAAGGGAACGATCGTGAGCTACGGCCTGGACCCCATGTTGGACCCCACAGCCAGGACTAAGAAGCCTGGATGATACTGGACAGGAATGTAGCATGATGTCTTAGCTTGAGCTGCTATAACAAAATCCCTTACTGCTGCCTGGGTGGCTTAGTTATTGCTCAGTTTTGGAGGCTGGAAATTCTAAGGTCAAGATGCCAGCAGACTCTGGTGAGGGCTCGCCCTCTGCTTCATAGATGGTGGCTTCTTACTGTGTCCTCACATGGCAAAGGGGCAAGAAAGCTCTCTTGAGCCTCTTTTGTAAGGGATCTGACCCCATTCATGAGGATGGAGTCCTTGTGACCTAATTTCCCAAATGCCCCACCTCTCATTCCCATCACACTGGGTGTTAGCCTCCACCTGGCAATTTTAGGGATATGCAGACATTCAGACCAGAGCAAATGGGGGTGTCCAGTAATAATACAATGAGAACCACGCATTAAAACATTTAAAAGAAGCAGATGAAATTAATTTTAGTAGTATATTTTATTTAACCCAATGTATGCAGAGTATTATTCTAACATGTAATCAACATAAAAAGTTACTGATACATTTTGTCCCTTTTTTCTATACAGAGTCTTTGCAATCTGATGTGTATTTTACCCCAAGAGCAGGTTTCCACTGGGCCTGACCCCATTTTGCATGCTCGGAAAGCCACAGTGACTATGGCTCCCATGTTGAACAGTGCAGGTCTAGATCCTGGGTGCTCTGCAGATTCCAGACTAGAACAGAAGGAATTAGGTCCGATCTTAGAATTTAGTGTTTGCTCTTCTCTCTCTAATGACTGCTCTGGAAAGCTGTGTATATCAGCAGTTCTGTGGTTCAAATTACCGTCAAGGTGGTCAAGAGGGAATTCTCACGTTTGCTTTCTTCCTTGCCCATTTCCTGGGCGTAGGCAGTTGTGCTGGGCCCACAGGTGCTGGGAGGAGCCACATTCCTGGTCCTCACCCTCTTGACAGGATTCCAGCATGTGGCTGTGTTGCTCTCTAGACCCTCATCCACGTGGGAGGCCCCATCCCCTGAGGAAAACGAAATGGCCTCTCATGTTGCACGGGTCTGGGTTTGAACCCTAGAACCTCCAAGTGAGGAGCCTCTAGGGCTTTGGCGAGCTGCCTCACCATCAGCCATGCTGGTTCCATGATGCTGTGAGAACCAGCCCCTGGGAACCCGGGGCCATGCCCTACCCACTGTTGTGTATTCCCACCTCGTCCCTGTAGTTCCCAGGCTGGCTGCCATCAAGGTGTCGCCATCCGGCACCATCTGCATTCTTAGTGTTTTCCTTGGTTTTGAGGACATGGGCCCAGCACCCCCACTGTAGGATGACTAAAGGACACAGTCATGTTCCTCTAAGGACCCACTGCCCTACTCCTAAGTTGTGCTCATTCTGATTGCCTTGGGTCCTAAACTGCAGGTCCCTGTCATTGGGCCTTGAGCAGGCCATGCTATTCCCTTGTTCCCCAGGTCCCATGAAGGAGGCTTTTACTCATGTGAGCCTTTTCTGCTATGTTTCAGGTTGAGCCGGACCCTGAGGCTGGGAGTGAGCAAGAGGTATTTGCTGCTGTGGAAGGGCCCAGTGCCGAGGAGATGCCCTCAGACACAGAATCTGCAGAAGTCCTGGAGACACCGCTTGACGCCCGCCAGGGGCTTCTGGGGATGGACCCCCCGGGTGACATGGTGGGCTTCGTGGCGGCTGAGAGCACTGAGGACCTTAAGGCCCTGAGCAGTGAGGAGGAAGAAGAAATGGGGGGTGCCGCCCAGGAGCCTGAAAGCCTTCTGCCACCCTCCGTGCTGGACCAGGCCAGTGTCATTGCGGAGCGGTTTGTTAGCAGCTTCTCTCGGCGGAGCAGCGTGGCACAGGAGGACGGCAAGTCCAGTGGCTTTGGGAGCCCACGGCTGGTCAGCCGGAGCAGCAGCGTGCTCAGCCTGGAGGGCAGTGAGAAGGGCCTGGCGCGGCGTGGCAGTGCCACAGACTCCCTCAGCTGTCAGCTCTCCCCAGAAGTAGACATCAGTGTTGGGGGGGGCACAGAGGACAGCCCTTCTGTCAATGGGATGGAGTCCCCAAGCCCAGGCTGCCCAGTGGAGCCCGACTGGTCTTCCTGCAAGAAGAAGGAATCAGCGCTCTCCACCCGAGACCGGCTGTTGCTAGACAAGATTAAGAGCTATTATGAAAATGCAGAACACCACGATGCGGGCTTCAGTGTCCGTCGCCGGGAGAGCCTCTCCTACATCCCCAAAGGACTGGTAAGAAACTCTGTCTCCAGATTCAACAGCCTTCCTCGGCCAGACCCAGAGCCAGTACCTCCAGTGGGGCGCAAGAGACAGGTGGGCTCCCGGCCGACTTCGTGGGCCCTGTTTGAGCTCCCAGGACCAAGCCAGGCAGGCAAAGGGGACCCACCTCCCATCTCAGATGCTGAGTTCCGCCCATCATCAGAAATTGTGAAGATCTGGGAGGGAATGGAGTCTTCTGGGGGGAGCCCTAGGAAGGGGCCCGGCCAGGGCCAGGCCAATGGCTTTGACCTGCATGAGCCACTCTTCATCCTGGAGGAGCATGAGCTGGGAGCCATCACGGAGGAGTCAGCCACTGCCTCCCCGGAAAGCTCCTCTCCCACTGAGGGGCGCAGCCCAGCCCACCTGGCCCGGGAGCTGAAAGAGCTGGTGAAGGAGCTGAGCAGCAGTACCCAGGGGGAGCTGGTGGTCCCACTGCACCCCCGCATCGTGCAGCTCTCCCATGTAATGGACAGCCACGTGAGCGAGCGCGTCAAGAACAAGGTCTACCAGCTGGCCCGCCAGTACAGCCTCCGAATCAAGAGCAACAAGCCAGTGATGGCCAGGCCACCACTGCAGTGGGAAAAGGCGGCCCCTGAGAGGAACGAGAAGAGCCCCACTGTGCCCTGTCTACAGGAAGAGGCTGGAGAGCCATTAGGTGGCAAAGGTATGACAGGAGCGGCATGTGGGCCCTTCCCCAAGCCTAGGGACTGCAGAGCCAATAAGGAACCACTTGGCTCCTCGGGGAAAGTGACCTCTAAGGAGGCTCTACCAAAGGGAGAAGCTAGACCCTGGGCACCAAGGGCACAGGGTGAGCCCTGGCGGCCAGTCCAGTGCTCTGAGGCCAAACTTGCTCTCCTGGTTAAGCCCTTTTGATGCTCTCTGCTTCAGCCCTTCCCATCCAGCAGAGACTTCTGGAGGAAGCATGGCCCCAGGCCCCTCCTTTAGCAGGATGGGAGCAGAAGCTCTCCCCTCTTCCTTTGACACCTGACCCCTTTCCACTGCCTTCATTCTTCCCATGGCCCTTCATGAAAGGGGCTGTGGATGGTAAATGAGATTTTTCCCATCACACCCAAACCCCAACAACCAGCCTTTCCTGGAAGGTGAGTTGGATCCTGCTCAGAGACCCCCTTGCAGCTCTGCCCTCCCACCCTGTACTTCAGGCAGCTTGCTCTCTCCTCACAGGTAAGAGGAAGCCAGTGCTGTCTCTCTTCGACTACGAGCAGCTGATGGCCCAGGAGCACAGCCCTCCCAAGCCCTCCTCGGCTAGGGAGACATCGCCACAGCGTTTCTCCTTCAACCCGTCTGCTGTCAGCCAGAGGACCACCTCGCCTGGGGGCCGGCTCTCTGCCCGGAGCCCCCACAGCCCCACGGAGACCTTCAGCTGGCCTGATGTCCGAGAGCTCTGCTCCAAGTACGCCTCCCGTGATGAGGCACGCCGAGCAGGGGGTGGTGGGCCCCGCGGCCCACCCGTCAACAGGAGCCACTCGGTGCCGGAGAACATGGTGGAGCCGCCTCTGTCGGCCAGGATGGGCCGCTGCCGCAGCCTGAGCACCAAGAGGGGCCGGGGAGGCGGAGAGGCTGCCCGATCCCCTGGGCCTCTGCCCCAGAGCAAGCAGGACGGAGGCGAGACCCTGTATGTCACTGCAGACCTCACCCTTGAGGACAACCGGCGGGTGATTGTCATGGAGAAGGGACCCCTTCCCGGCCCCACGGTGGGGCTAGAGGAGAGCAGTGGTCAGGGACCAAGCTCGCCGGGGGCCCTGCTGGGGAAGGGCCAGGACTTCCAGCAGTCTGCAGAGTGTCGGCTGAAGGAAGAGGGTCCCAGGGACCCGGCAGACCCGAGCCAGCAGGGTAGAGTGAGAAACCTCAGAGAGAAGTTCCAGGCCTTGAACTCTGTTGGTTGATGCTGACTCCTAGGGGAGGGAGGAGTCATGTTGGAGGTTGGGGAAGAATCTGGGCATCCTTCCCCTCAAGCCTGGGCTCATGGAGCCCCTGCCCAGGGTCCCCTCTGCCCTTCGGGAAGGATGCTCCCGTGTGCAGGGGTCTCCTGCCTGTGCCATCCACTGGGGCTCGAGACAACTTCCCACTCACCTGTGAGGCTGGTGTGGCTGCTTCCCTTGTAAATAGTTCTTTTCTGGTAAGAAGCCAAATATCGAAGCTCACCTCTTCCCAGAGAGCAAGCTTTGCTCAGGCCTGCAGCGTTGGCTGGCCATGGCCACAGCCAGACCGAGGAGCCCACCCCCAGCGAGACTCAGGCAGTGGCCTGGAGAGGCTTTACTCTGTAACTGTGGCTTTTCTTAGGGTCCAGGTAGGAATGAAGCCGATAATTTATTGCTTTCCATTCCGTGGTATGATGTGCGCGTGCGTGAGTGTGTGGCCTCTGTTTATTCCCCTCCTGTCAAGAATGAAGTGGATGCAGTTCAGGTACTTTTGAGGGTTGTTGCGCTGACCCTGTGGTTGTCGCTGATGTACACACATTTCATTATTTGCCAATGGTGCAATAACCACTGCTGACCAACCCACTATGTGTGAACTCCTTCCTGGGCCTGGCTGGGGTAGGGAAGGTTATTTGTGGGCCAGGGATGTCTTAGGGAGATGGAGACATGGAGGTGGTTCCTTCCACACTCATTGGTCACCTGAGCTCATGAAACATAAGGCACTTGGGTACTGGTAGGGGAGGTGGGGCAGGAGGATGTGAGGTTGGGAGCTTGCTCTCTGCTGCCTAGACTCCCATGGGCTTCTCTGTCAAGCAGCAGCCTGCTGTCCTGTCTAGGGTAGGGAGTCCCGCATGCCAGCCTTTTGCTCTTTTCCCCAAGGGCCAGAGTTGGACTAAAAAAAGGGAGGTGGTGAGGTAGACCGTTTTTCTCATAAGCAGAAGTTCCCAGTATCTGGTGCCTTTTGCACTTCTCTCCAGTTCCCAGGAAACGTCCTAGAAGGCAAGCATTCTTTTTTTTTTTTTAAAGAGATGGAGTCTCATTCTGTCACCCAGGCTGGAGTGCAATGGCGTGATCTTGGCTCACTGCAACCTCCGCCTCCCAGGTTCAAGCGATTCTTGTGTGTCAGCCTCTCAAGTCACTGGGACTATAGGCACGAGCCACCACACCCAGCTAATGTTTTGTATTTTTAGTAGAGACGGGGTTTTGCCACGTTGACCAGGCTGGTCTCAAACTTCACACCTCAGGTGATCCACCCACCTCGGCCTCCCAAAGTGCTGGGATTACAGGAGTGAGCCCCTGTATCTGGCTGAAGGCAAGGATTCTAAACTTGGAGACTAGAAATGTCCTAAAGGTGTCTGCAACATTGGATGAGGAGTACTAGTGCATTTTTCTGGGATGATTCCTCCCTTTTTATCACATTCTCAGAAGTGTCTTTGGTTCAGAAGAGTTAGGAATGCCTCCCTATTTCAGCTGGGTTTTCTGCCCTTTCTCCACAGTGGTCCGGCCTCATTTCGCTCAATTTTTTTTTCTGACTGGGGCCTGGGAGGTGGACGCTGCAGGGCCTGGATGGTAGAGCTGCCTGACAAGTGTTCAGCGGGGCTGCTGGGCCAGGGCCCTGTGGGCCTTCTGACCCAACCTGAAGATGGGTCTGCTGAGTCTAACAAGGTCAAGGGAAGATCAGAGGGACCTAGATTCTTTTTTTTCCCCCGCTTGAAATGGAGTCTTGCTCTGTCACCCAGGCTGGAGTGCAGTGATGCAATTTCGGCTCACTGCAACCTCCCTGACCCTCACATTGTCCAGTGCCCTTGTGGTTACTCAGCATCATATCTTGAGACTGGCCTGGCAGGAGCCAGTGACTGTGGAATGACCACAGAAGATTCAGGGCAGCTGCCAGACCAGGGGCTACCTCTGCCCTTCGCTATTTCTGCTCAAGAGAGGTTGTCACTAGCCTCTGATCTTCCCTTAAAGAACCCAACTGGGGCTCTTCAGAGGGTGGGGCCCAGGAAGTTGTAGTTAACCCCTTCTCCAGGCAGTCCTTACACAGCCATCTAGGTATGCCTGGGAACCTTGCACCAGGTCGGTGGTTCTCACTGGCTGCCCATTGGAATCATCTGAGGAGCCTTTTGGAAACGGTGCTTACATTCCATCTCCCTAGACCAACAGAAACCGCCCTCTGGAGGTGAATCCCAGGCTTAGAGATTCTGATGATTCTGTGGTCCAGGAGTGCTGAGATCCGTCCTGAGTTCTGTGGGGAGGGGCCTGGACTGATCATTGCTCGGAAATGATTTTGCCCTACAGCAGGCCTTCAAGTTGATCAAATGCATGAATGAGCAAGCTTTTCTCTGAGTTTGTGGTGAAGCCCAGGACCTGGGTGCTTGCAGTCGTCCCCATAAGGCTCCCAGGGACAAGCTGGAGAGTCTGGCTGTCCCTCTGTCTCCATGGTGCCAGCCCTCTTAGACCCAGTTCAAAGGGAGAGGAGGCTAGTCAAATAAGAAACTGAGAGAAATATGGAGCATTATTGATTTATTAGAAAAACTAGTAAATGGGATTCCTCTGGTTGGTGGAAGCACGGTTGAGCAGGTGGAGGACAGGACCCAGCTGGCCCCAGGGCCAGCCCCAGACTGCATGGTCTGTGCCCAACAGGGTTGCATTCCTCTGCAGCCGCCGCCTCCTCGTTTCCTCCCTGAGCTTGTTTGTCCAAGCCACCAAGCCATGTGGTCCCACTGGCTTCGTCCTCCTCTGGATTCCTGCCCCGCTCCCATGAAGGAAGGAAGAGGATTCAGGGTCGGCCTTGGGGACCCTGGTTGCCTCCGATAGGCAGGAAGGAGGAGGGATGTGGAGGAGAGGCTGAGCCTTCCACGGGCCTCCTGTTGGGGGTGCTAGTGGAGGCCAGGTTGGGGAGGAAAGCCCAAGGACCCTCCACACCTCCCATAGCCAGTCAGTTGAGGCCAGGACAAAGGGGAAGGAGAGGGAAGGAGGACCGCCTGCCCGTGCCCGGAAGGGAAGGAGAGGGAAGGAGGACCGCCTGCCCGTGCCCGGAAGGAGCTTCCTCTAAACTGCCCTGGGGAGGAAGCCTGGTATGCTGGTGTGGACTGGAGCTGTGTCAACCTAGTTTAGGAATACTGTCAAAGAAAAGACTGTAAAGTAGAATAAGGAGAGAAAAAAAAAGACCTTGCCGGGGTACTGGGAGAGCTTAGCCCTGTGTGGCACAGGGCCTCCCAAAGCTGGATGCCTGCGGTTTCAGTCCAGTTGGTCGAATGTCTTGGGGCCTGGGTGACAGGAGGGATGTGTGGGGAGCTGGCAACAGAATGGTCACATGCAGCTGGCTGCCCTGGACCAGCCCGGGGGACCTGGGGTGGTGAGATGCTAGCTCTTCCACTGGAGTCCTTCTTTTCTTGGGTCTATGGAGTTGCTTGCTGGAAATGACTCACTTCAGGTGCTGATTTGGCACACGTGGAAGGGGGAGGATGGGCCCTTGTCCCTTGGCTCCCTAAAGACTGGCCGAGGGAAACAGTTGAGGGAGATGCTTGCCACCATCTGCCCTTCAGCAAGGAACCTGCTTTCTGCCCCAGAGGACATGCCCGCAAGTGCACCAAAGGCCTACTTTATTGCTCGGTGAGTGCAGTCATCTCACTGCCTTGGTTTCCCCAGATACAGAAAGAGGCTGGTGAGTGGTACACACTAGGTTCCCTGTATAGGATCATATGCACTGAAGCCAAATGAAGACCTTGCCCACCAGGGCGGGAACCTGGGGATATCAGGCTCCATTGGATGACGTCTTCCTTCCTGTAGCTCCTGCCTGCTGCAGTTGGTGTCTCCCTGACAGTGTCAGGGCCACAGGGTGGGACTGATTTCTGCTGGTACTGGTCAGCACTCAGGGTTCCTCAGGGGGCCTCATTCTGGATGCCTGCCCCTGTGGCTTCTACCTGAACCTCACCTCCTTCATCTCCATGGAACTAAGGTCCTTCACACAGGGAAAGTGATAGAAACTGCCTGCAGGCCCTGGGGACTTCTATGATTTCCCTGGGGGAGAATGCCTGCTGCCACCCGCACCCCACCTGCTTGACTCCTCTCTTGGACCTAACCCTAGTTAGATACTGGGCCAGAACTGTGTTGCTTTCAGAGTAGAGTGGTGGGAAAATCCTTGTGGAGTGACTTTTCTCTCCCTCCAGAAGTATGACCTGGGCAGCAAGGGGAAGGCCATTCCTGAAGATGTAGGTTGCAGAACTTCTGGCGCTCAGGGCTAGAAGGTGGTAGATATTTGACCTCTGTACTCATGTGACACTCCCCGCCACCCCCCACCCAAGACCTGGGGCCAAGACCTTCTGGAGAAGCTGATCAAGGGGTACCACACCTTCACAGCTGTGGCCCCGACATCTGTGCCAACTGTGCAGGGGTAGCTGTCACGGGTGGTGATGTCAAGGCATGGCTGCATCTGCCACCCCGAGATGATAGGTGATCAACTTTGCTGTCTGCCCAGCCGTACCTTCCGAAGTCCCAGCTGCAGACAGGATGCAATTGGACATTTGGCTTTGGGATGCTTCATTGCAGGGGTATCCATCTTGTATCTGGGGGCCCACACTGTCCCCTAGGGGGCCTACATCTGTCGGATATTGCTGGTTTGGCTGCCACTGGGAGGAGGGGGAGGGTCCTAGCATTGAGAGGGACAGCCTTAGGCAGTGTTGTGACCTACTCCTTCAGATCACAGCCCTGTGCCCTAGCCACAGTTTTCAATGAGGAATGGTCTGACCTTGCTGCCCCTCCTGGGACTGCCTGTGGTGGCACAAGGGTGCTGGAGGCACTCAGCCAGGCCCCGCCAACCGTGGAGGGTGCCCTTTGATCTGGGGGGAGAAGCAGAGAGGAGGGATGTGGTGGCCCCTGAGGTGAGAGTTCCAGTTCTGCGGAAGCCCAGCGGGGAGGAGGTTGGCAGCACCCAAGGCCCTGCACCCAGTCTGGTCCCCTCAGCCCCCCACAGCCCCTGACCCAGAGCTAGGGCTTTGTGGGCCACCTGAAGGCTCCTTCCTCATGCCCCTAGGTGGCTGGCCATGCATTTCCAGTGCCCTCCTCCTTTCCCCTTTCCCTGGCTGCCACCAGGTGGGAGGTGACCCCAAGCAAGACTTGCTTTAGGAACGGGCAGCGTTTGAGGAACCCCATCAGCCTTCTCCAGCTCTTTTTTTTTTTTTTCTTTTCTTTTGTTTGGTTGGGGGTAAGGGGCCTGCGCACCCTCGGCTCAGGAGGAGGGTGGGAGAGGAAGGCGTGTGCCTCAGAGAACCGTTTCCTGCCCCCAGGCCTGGAGGCCCCGAGGGCGCCAGAGGAGCTGGGAGCCCCTGTCCCCGGAGCAGACCCGGCGCGGGCGAGGGCATGGAGGGGGCGTCGGCCCAGGACGCGCGGGCGAAGGCAGCTTTTGCAGTGCAGCGTGGGGCCCGGGGGCCCGGCCCGCGACTCGACTCGATTCGACAGGCGGGCGGCGGCGAGAGGAGGCCAAGGCCCGGGGCGCCCGGTCTCTGCGACTCCGCCGCGCCCGCCAGCCCCACCCGCGGGGGCCTCCGGCCGCTACTTCTTTTTGGGGAAGAAGCTGAATCTCT